CTGAAGCATCAAACCAATTTTAGCATGCAGTTAAAACAAATATTCAGTGGCGTGCGTTTGCATAGACTGTAATAATAATAATGAATAATTATCATATGGCAGTGTGTGCACTATAGCCAGAAGATCCTAGGACTGTCTAGCAGGCACAAGCTCTAGCTCTTTTGTGGCAAGCTGGGCTTACAGTGACCTGAGAGACCTCTGAGAGAACTGTGACTGACCCAAGGTCACCCAGCTGGCTTCAAGTGGAGGAGTGGGGAATCAAACCCAGTTCTCCAGATTAGAGTCAGCCACTTTTAAGGGCCACACCAAACAGACTCCCTATAGAAAGTAATTAATCCAATTGACTAGAAACTTCCTGTTGGGGAATTTATTTTCTATTTTATGAGAAGTCCTTATTTCCAACCTAGTTTTGATGTACTTGCGGTTCCAGGTCATATTCGGGATGGAGAGGCTTGGCCAGCCTTATACAGCCCCGTTCCAAATGACCACTCACACACAGTTTCTTTGGAAATTAGGTGGATAAAATTGGCCACAACTTTATTGATTACAGCTGTTATAGGCATTGGCACAGCATGGGTCCACCGGATCCGACCCTTCGGCTGACCCTTCTGCCAGCCGAGGTATCCGTTACCCAGCCAGCAAGGTGGATAAAATTGGCCACAACTTTATTGATTACAGCTGTTATAGGCATTGGCACAGCATGGGTCCACCGGATCCGACCCTTCGGCTGACCGAGGTATCCGTTACCCAGCCAGCCAGCATGGGTAGAGACTGCAGGATGGCAGGTTGCCGGGGTTCACCTGGACGCCTGCCCCTGTGTGAACTCCCCTGCCACCTGGCGGTGAGGGCCATTGCTGTTAGTCCTTGCGCTTGCCTGCTCCCTTCAGCCCTCACGCCAAGACCCTTACCGGGGTCCCCACCTCCGGAAAATGGCACGCAGGCCATTTTCCGCCAAACGGATCCGGCCCCATGCTGTCACTGCCGAGAGTTGAAGTAACCTCGCCTGCTATGTCCTAACCCTTACAAAGGCCCAAGAAACAGGGAGGGATGGGCGGGCAAGCAGCTCCAGTCGCAAACGAAAGGGGGGAGGACGGCGAGTGGCCCAGTTGCACAACTCTTACTGTAAAAAGGTTTTTCCTAATATCCAGCCTGTACCATCCTGCCCTTAATTTAAACCCATTATTGTGAGTCCCATCCTCTGCTGCCAACAGGAACAGTTCCCTGCCCTCCTCTAAGGCTGAATCTACATATGCATCTTAGAATCAGCTTGGTGCCGCTGTTATCCCATGTGATTTAGAACTG